CTAATTTTACTAATAAAAATAACCGTAGTTTGCACTTACCGGAAAAGTTGTATGACTGACATATAGCAGCTATAACACATCTGTTATATGACCAATTCTCTATGTCTTGCCTGAGAGGTAGGGATCACTATGATCCCCATTTGGCAGATGGGTAAACTGAGGCCAAGAGAAGTCATCCAACTTGCAAGTGAGGGACAGAGTAGTAATTCAAACTCAGGTCTGTCTTTTTGACTTTCACGCTGCATTTACATTCACAATTTACATAGCAGGTCTGTTTGCAACACCTTCCGACAGAGGTGAGACAATGATTCCTAAGAGAGGAAGGTGTTGAAGATGGAACCCAAATAGATCAACGAGTTTACACCTTGTTTATTGAGAGGATGCCACCACAGCTGAGTCGACAGTGTGGTGGCCTGACCATGGAGACAGAAATCTCTGGGCAACAAAGATGGAGGATGTTTTCCCAGGGAGATCGGAGATATTCAGGTGGAACGTCTGTGCCCAGCCTTTTGTGCAGAGCCTGGTGGTTCTTCCATGCACAGATGGAGCCACAGAGGCTCGGAAGTCACCCTACGACTGTCCCTCTTCCTCTAGAGCAGATCTGTCCTGCTTTCATCTTCTTCACGCAAATGTATGGTTCTGAGAGTTCCCCCATCTGAATCAGTTTTCATAAACCTTTCAAATTCAATCAACGAAGACCCATCCTTATTTTTTTTTAAGATTGATTTATTTATACAAGAACTGGGGTACAGGCCAGAGGCGCGGGAGGGTGAGAGGATTCACCCGAGACAAAGCAGGGAGCAGAACAGGCAGAAGGACTGAAGTACACTGCTGAGGGGAGCAGCTGGTGAGACAGGAGAGGTCTGCCACACCATGTGGGTATCACCCTGGCCGTCTGGGAATTGAACCAGTGCTGCAGAGGCTGCGGACAGCTTCACAGTGCGGCGCTCAACCCGCTTTGCCACCAGGGAGGCCCCAAAGACCCATCCTTATTAATAATAATGTATAAAGTTCATGGAGAGCTGACTATGCCAGGATCTCACCTAATGAAAAGTCTCACACTCCATGCAGAAGGTGCCCAGTTACCACTATTATTTAGAAGAAATGGAGGACAACAGAGACCCAAGTTCTCACTGCTAGTAACTCTCCAAGCTGGGGTTCAAACCAAGGCATCTGGCTCCATTCTCCATGCTCCTAACCTCCCCCTTGACTAAGGATTGACACAATTTTTCTATAAAGGGCCAGATAGTTAATATTTCAGTCTTTGCAGACCATAAAATGCTGTCATAATTCCTCATCTCTGTTGTACAACTACACCTGCCATTACAGGAATAGCAGCTCAGGCAATGTGTAAGTGACGGGCAAGGCTTTGTGCCAATAACTTTATTTACAGAAAGAGAGCAGGGGCATTGCCCCACCTTGGCCCAGACTACATTACACTTCGACCGTGACGGCGATTCTTTTTCTCTTAAGCAGGTCATTCCAGCCATAATTCCAGCGCATTTTCTCACCTGCCTTCTGGCTTTTCCACATTCTGTTTCTCCTGCTTGTCTCACTTGCATTTCTCAGGTAAGGCCATGGTCATGTTGGTCAAGACGGTGGCACCTGCTAAGGTTGAGTGTTTCTATGTGCCAGACCTAGGTCTCACATCTTCTTACCTTCAGTGTCTTTGTCTTTGCAACAACAGCTGAGATTAGTATTATTAGGTATCATTATCTGTCCCCTTTGCGTTGTGTTGGGGATCAGAGGAGTGAGGCCAGAAAGGGAAGGGAACTTTATAGCCAGTGTGTGAGTAGACCCGAGATTCACGCACAGAAGTGTCCACCTCCAAAGAACCTCTCTTACTCACCCAGGGCAGTTTCTCTAGCGATTCACTGACCACTTGCTTCTGGAATTGGGGAGGGGATTGTAAATCCACATTTTAAGCAGCTTTCTGGGTGATCCTGCAGTGTGTTGAGGTGTGATGAGCACAGCGTTACCTGTGTGGCAGGCAAATTCTGTGGCCAACCCCTCTTCTGAGATGTTCTCTTAGACCTTCAAATGTTACGGCTTCTTCTGGGTCTCTCCAACCTGGAGATTATTTCTCTTACCACTATTTATTCTGTACTGTACCCCAAAGTGTGTCTTTCCCTCTTAATCCATCATCCTTAAAGGATATGAGCAAAGACAAGGGGCTCATTTTGAAAGGTATGGTGGGGGGGGAAGGAAGCATTTGGGGTCCCTCTGTACTCAGGAAGTGGCCAGATCTTTGCCAAATGTTCCCTGTTTGCACAGGAAAGGTCACACTATGAAGAGAGCCCTCTGGCACCAACATGTTAAAGAACATTAACATGGTGTTTCAAAGGACTTTGAGCTTTCAATTGCCATCAATTAATTTCCTAACTGATGTCCGACTTTCCTAAATGCATATATATATATATATATATATATATATAAATTTAGATTTATTTATTTATACAAGAACCGGGGTACAGGCCAGATGCATGGGAAGGTGAGAGGATTCACCAGAGACAGAGCAGGGAACAGAACATGCAGACTGACGAAACACACTGCTGAGGGGAGCAGTGGGCATGACAGGAGAGGTCTGCCAAGCCATATGGGACCCTCCCTGGCCAGCCAGGATTGAACCCGCGCTGCAGAGGCTACGGACAGGTTCACAGTTCGCCACTCAACCTCCTGCGTCACCAGGGGAGGCCCCTAAATGCATATTTTTGTCATGACGTAGCTCATCCTTTACTCTCAATCACGCAGACCTGGAGGAAGTGTCCTTCCATGCCATGTAGGCTGATACATGTACATCTGTGACAGCCACAGACAGCCCTCAAAAGGCAGCCATCAATTAATTCGAAACTTTCAAAGGAAAAAAGTTAGAAGCCAAGTGCCACCCCGTCTTGTACATCAACCAGCCCCAAGGATACTCACTTGATGTGCTAAGAGTCCCTAATGAGGACAGCCACCATCTGGCAAACAACCCAGTAGGTTGAAACAAAAATATCAACACAAGCAAAAATATGTGAAGTTGTTGACCATTGACAGACAGCCTGTCGGTGGGCATCTATTAGCTCTCAAAGCAGTCTGGCAGAGAGATTAAAAAAAATCCATCAGACCTGAAAAGCCTTAACAGGCCAAATTTCCCCGGGGGGCCTTTCTATATGGTACTTATCATTTTCCGAGCAGCGATAGCTTGGATTGTCAGAGGCATCATTAGCCTAAATAGACTAACGACGCCGACGTGGGCGGTCATCTTAGACCCGGCTCCGGGCTCAGGCCTGCAGCTTGTGGGGTGGGCCCATCTCCAGGGCTTCATTAGTGCCTGGCACTGGGTAATTATCGTCCTGCACCCCCGAGTCAGCAGAGAGGGAGGGCACGACCACCGCCCGCTGGCCTCCTTCTGTGCAAACACCATCCCGCGCAGTTGTTCTGGGGATGAAACAGTTTCCTTCCTCACTTGGCTTCCTCAGTGGGCCTTGTACCTTTCAGGGAGGAAAAAAATTCTGAGTTGCCTCCAGTTTGGCAGGAGCTGAAGTGAGAAGCCGTGCAGATGTGGTTGCTGAAAAAGCAATTGGTTTGTTTCACACACCACCTACCTTCCCGGAAAATTAAAAAAGCTCACCAACCAAGTGCCAATTGGTCAGGACCTCAGGAGGGCGAAAATACAGGGAAAAAAATTAATTTCAAACTGTGAAACTCAGCCCGCGAGAGCTAATAGCCCCACAGCCGCCGCGCGGTGTTCACCTTCTGGTAAACCCTGCAGAGCTTGGGGGTGGCCGTGGGGTGGGGGCGCTCGCTGACACTTGTTTTTAGTGGGGGAGTATCTGGGAAGGCATATGTCTCCTCCCCTGACTGCATCACTCTCTCCAGGGACGCAATGTCACCCCATCTTCCTGAGGATAGTCTGTGCCTCGGTGCCCCCCAACAGCCCTGCTGTGGAGCGGTCACAGCCGCTGCCACTGTCCTCTCTGTGGTGGAAACATCGTAATTAACCGCATCCCCCCAAATGTTGGCTGAATGGCTGGCCCCTAATTTGTATACTTTCTGCAGAGGTTTCAGTGTCTCGTGAAATTTATTGCCATACTAAAGTCACCTTTTAAATTATGGATCTCGATATTGGTATGCTGCTAAAAATGTTCACAGCATTGTAATTTTATGCACCGGCAATAAACATGAAAAATGCATTTTGGGGTTGTTTAACATTAAAAATAATGTTTTGGAAAATAAATTTTAGGAGAAATTTAGTACCGGGGAAAAGGACCATATTCACAGCGCTGGAGACGCGGCTCCATAACCCAAAGAGCGTATTGGACGGGTGCAAATTTGCATCCCAGAGACCCTGATGGACGGAATGCAACGACAATTAACTTCCCACAGGTTGGATTTCAGTGGCAGTGGGACCCACTGTTCCTGCCAGCTCTCAGCCGTCAAGGGCTCCCCCTTATTGCTCACTCAACAGCAGCAGGGTTTGTTTCCAGAGCTGCCAGGTGATTGCGAGGCGATCGGCAGCATTACCACAAATCACCTTGTTCAGGAACAAAAATGACAGAGCACAAGCTGCCTTTCTGAAGAGCAATTTAGCTTGGTCAAGCGGGGGCAACAGCTTGTAGACTTAACATCACCTGAAGAGTTAATTCAGTGACTGGGTCAGGCCATGGCACTTGGCTCTGTGACCGAGGAAGAACAAGTCATCTTGAGAGACAGCCCAAATCCAGGGGTCTGCATCTGTAGCTCCTCATAGGTCTCACCAGCCGTGTGGCCATGGCTGGGTTACTCACACCAGCGTGCCTCTATTTCCCCATCTGTACAGTAAGGATACTGCTAGAACGTGAGGATGAAATTTCAACGTGCAGGTAAAAAGCACCTGTGTAAGACACATAGTAAGGGATGCATTATCTTGTTGCTGATGCCAGAATGAGCCCTGCCACCTTGTCTTTTCCTACAGAAATTCTATTTAAAACAGATAACTGAAGTCAAGCAAGAATGAACTTTCTTTCTTTTCACTCTTCTTTCCTTTCTCTACTGTCAAATTTCACTCATCCTTCAAGGCTGAGTCTCACAGGTGGGACTCTTTGCTGCATGGCCACATTGCTGTGTGGACCCCAGTCTCCTCCAGATGATCCCAGTGAAGGGAGATGTTCTGCAGACCATGATGAGAAAGACAAGAGCAAGGTAAATATTTTGATAAAGATAGAAAATGTTGAGTTTGCACAACCAAATGTTCTCTTATTGGGAATCCCCATCGATTTTTTTTTTTCATTTTCAAATACATGTAATGTATTTAATTGGTCATGTGACTATTTCATCTCACCTACCACCCTGTTCTCCTCAGGGTGCATGACTCTATCTTATTTAGCCCTGTGTCCACAAGGCACATTGGGATCGCATGAAGAGTTTGCTTGTTGAATGCATGCTCTTAAAACCAGGTGGGAAGCGGATGGGAAAATCGGAAGTGATTGAGGGGATCTGACCTTGGGTTTCCCTGAAAAGGAAAGATGGGGCTGGATTTCTTTCAAATGTAAGACAGCTGGGGAGTCCGCACCATCACTGCACTGGAGAGAGATGAGTGACGGCAGCTGTGTGCAGGGCCTTCTCGCCGCCGTGGTTTTCCAGCTCCTTTGCTTTGGGTTGTTGCCTCCTGGTCTTGGAGACTGTTCTCAAGCTCAGGTATCAACCAGCACTTGGGAGGGAAGGCATTTCAGGCATTCTTGTTTCTTTATGACAGATCCAAAGAGCCTGAAACATATTCCAAAATCATAATAGCGGTATTGCATTCAATGATTTAATAAAATGACATAAAGACATACAAATGATATATATGCCATAAAATGATATCATTAAAATCTTGATGGTTGGATATTGGGCCAAGGGGAAAACAATGGTTATAGTAATGAAGTTTTGGGAAGCAAATAAAAGTGATCTAATATCATACTCCAAACCTAGTAGGTAGAGGTATTCTGGTGCTGTAGTTCTCAGATTTAGCATGTGGCAGAATGATGCAGAAAGGCTTGCAGGTCATTTCAGGGGGTACAGGGTGGGCCCCAGTACCCTTCAGATGATCCCCATGAAGGAAGGTGGTCTGCAGCCCATGTTGAGAAAGACAAGAGCTAGGTAAACATTTTGATAAAGATAGAAAATGTTGAGTATGCACAGCCAATATGTGTTATTTATAAAGTTTATTCATGAACTTCTATGCAATAGGATATACAATATAAAAATTTACAAGATGGAAATCATACAATATATAAAGACAAGTTGTTGTTGTTTACATTCCCCAGTAGATCTCCTTGGACTTCCCTGGGGCAAAATGCACCCAATTTGAAAATGCAGGATCCAAGCTAGTGCTTTCCAACTCTTCAGATACATATGCATAAGCTGGGGGCCTTGTTTAAATGTAGATTCTGATTCAATAACGCTGAAGTGGGGTGAGGTCTGAAATTCTGACTTTCTAACAAGCTCCCGGGTGACGCTGATACTTCTGAACACCACATTCTATGTAGTGAGACTCTTTAGGGTAGCTTCTCTATTACACACCTAATCACATTTTACATAGTGAGCATATAGGAGGTAGCTGCTCTATGATGGACCTAAAATCCAGTGTAAATTAAAGTTTTAACTGGTCAAGGCAAGGTTTGGATGGTACAGAGAGACAGATCATCAGCGAGCCCCGCTAAAACTCAGGTTCTATAATGCTTCTTTTTAGTTTCAGTAATGTGAGTCAAGTTTAAAACACCCCAAATGGCAATCCCCCATCCCTAACCCTTGATATGCTTTTCTAGAAGGTTCTCTTTTGGCTTATCTTATTGAATTAACAAGACAGTCCTCCCTGAAGTCATAAACAGTGACTTTCCCAGATGCAACAGTGGGCAAGATTATTCTCCTTGATTAAGGCTTTGACAGGCAGCATCTTTGCAGCCAGCATCATGCCAGGTTTTATTAGTAAATTGATCCTACAAAGTTTTCTCTTACCTACTGACACCCTGGCTCAGCCATCCTCCCCATGGATTGGAATGAACATATTTAAGAATATCATGCTTGGTGTTACTAAGAACAATAATTAGACACATTTGCAAATCATAAAGGGATAATTGTAATGCACTAATCTGTAGAGATTATTGAGGGGAAATAGGAAACTTAAATAATTAATTCTTCAAATCATCCCAGGAAGACTAAGCTGTTCTTCTTGACACACAGACACTGCAATTAGGTCAGCATGATGAGCCCATTTCAGATGAAATAGGAATTCATCAATGTGCTTATTTAATAGACCTGATCCTTCTGATTTGAATGAAATCAGAACTCCAGAATAGGCTGCCTGTCGAGTAATTCCACAGCACGCCACAGACCAAAGAACGAGGTGTGGTATTTCAAAATATCGGACATACATACAGAATGAACATCAGAAATCTTCTTACTGTGTTTTAATAAAACAGAATCACTGTATTTCTGCATGAGTCACTTGTGTGTCACTTATAAATCCATCTTAAGAAGCAGCAGTGTGCTTTGAGAACACGGGAAATCGTGGAGTAATATAGTGGTTATGCTGTCAATGTTTCGGTATTTATGTATTCCTTTTTAACAAAATTAGCATGTATTAATTGCCCTATCCAGTGAGAAAGTTCTCCCAATCATGTTGTCTGTTCAAGTCTCCAGAGACCCTGCAAGAGCATCTGGTGGGAGGCAGCTGTTTCTGGTGTCCAATGACCTAAGTCTAATACAACTTGATCACACTGGCCTCTTCTGCAAAATAGGAAAAATATTAACTATTGTCTTCACAGATGAGATTCAAATCCAGTTCATTTTAAAGTGTTTAGCACAAGAAGACCCAATAAAATAGCGAATGATTTATCAATGTGTAGATTCTGCTCTGGATTCTCTGTTACTCATATATCGGTGTATTTCTATGCTTTCTCCCCAGCTCGACTGGGTTGACAAAGCCATATTGATTCAAAGGGAAATTGCTTTTCATAGAGAAAGCTACCAATGTTGAATGAGAAGCATAAATTGAGTTAGTAAATGCAGGCAAAATGAATTCCTGAAAATAGGGGAGAGGAGAGGTTGCCATTTTATGACCCTGAGGGCCCCCAGCATCCAGCGGGCTTCTGACGAGCAAGGTCCAAGCAAGAAGTAGGAGAAATCATCTACAACAGTGTAAAGGAAGGTTCTGTCCAGTATTTAACTCCACTTCTAGTATCTCCAACTGATGAAGGAAATCACATGTCCCAAGACATGCATCAGCAGTCTTTATCTGTTCCAGGGGCCTACTTCTTAGCCAAAGACAGCGGTGGTCCAGGCTTGGGTCTTCAGAGAGAATCAGGAAATGGGACATGATGTTGGATACGAGTGTGATGTGTTGATGGTCCAGGGCCAGACACTTGCTCTTCTATCGAGGCTGATTCTAGAGGGGCACTTAATATTTTATTCCCAATTTTAAATTTGCTTATAATTTGAGAAAAAAATTGCATTTACAGAAAATTTGTAAAACTAGTCGTGGGTGTTTCCACATCCAGTTTGCCCTACTTTTCATCTTCTATTTCATGAGCTATGCTATTGTCACAATTTATGAACACGTATCAATACATCATTCCATTCCTATGAACCCAAGTCCAGAGTCTATTCGGATGGCATTTGTTTTCACCTAATACTCTTCTTCTGATCCAGAACCTCGTCCAAGACACCCCATCACACTTGGATGTCATATCTCCTCAGGTTCCTTTGGACTGTGACAGTTTCACTGTCTTCCCTTGTTTGTTTTTTTTTTTGTATTTTTTTTTATAACCTTGACAGTCTTGAGGAAACTGGTCAGGTATTTTGCAGACTGTTCTCCAACTGGGATTTGTTTAAAGTTTTTGTCACAGTGAGACCGAGGCTGTGTTTTCTGTGGAGGAAGAGACTGCAGAGATGAAGTGCCATTTCCATCACATCACATCAAGAGGACATGCTATCAAACTGACTTATCACTGTTGACGTTAATCTTGAACACTCAGCTGAGGCAGTGTTTGTCAGTTTTCTCGACTGTAAAGTTACTCTCTCCCCCACCTCCTATACCGTATTCTTTGGAAAGCCATCACTCTATGTAGCTCCTGCCAGGAAGTGAAGAATTCTGCCCCACCTCCCCACCAAATGTCATCTGCAAGGGAACTGTCAATTCCTCCCCATTCCTGTGTGAGTGTGCATGCTCGTGGATTTAGCCATCAATCATTAATTCATCAGTACGGATATTTATTTCAAACCTTGTGCTATCATCCAGTGTTACTTTATTCATTTCGTCACTCAACTTGGCACAGTTTTGGTGGCTGGACTGGGGTCAGTGAGAGCAGAGTAATTCCCTGCCCCTAGCTGGGAGAGGGCTTTGGCAAAGTCTTTTCTCTCTTTCACTCTTTTTTTTTTTTTAAAGATTTTTTTATTTATGCATACAAGAACCAGGGTACCGGCCAGATGTGCGGGAGGGTGAGAGGATTCACCAGAGACAGAGCGGGGAACAGAACAGGCAGACTGACTGAGATACACTGCTGAGGGGAGCAGCGGGCGAGTCAGGAGTGGTCTGCTGCACCATGAGGGTATTTCACTGGCCAGCCGGGATCGAGCCCGTGCTGCAGAGGCTGCAGACAGCTTCAAAGGCTGTGCTCAACTGCCTGCGCCACTGGGGAGGCCCATTCTCTCTTTCACTCTTATCCCAACTTTACAGAAAATGTTTTTAAATACCTTCTTGTTTGCTCCCTCTCTCATTCTCTGTTCTTTTTTCTGTCTCCCTGAAGACTTTGAGTTTTAGGATGGGAAGATGGGAGTCAGACCCAGTGAACTGTTAGCTTTGGAGACCACCTTGAGACTTCCCAGCTTCTCCCAATTCTTTCACTGAGTATTAAAATGATAAAAAGGTCATGTTAACAGTTATCATTTCTTGAATGTTTAGAACTTTTCTGGAAATGTCTCACATTTAATTCTCAAAACAAGTCTATCCGGGGGTTACTATTAAAATCTCTGTTTCATACCAAAGGGAAATCAGGCATGGCCCAGCTGGGCCTCTGTCCACGTCCCCAAGTCCAGCTCCCCTGCTGTGCTCTGTGACACAACCTCCCCCCCACTACTCCAACCTGCAGTGCCCCTGACCTGTGTGGCTCCATCCACCCCGCCCCCCACCATTGTGATAGGATAATTAGCTAACAATTACACAATTACACAAGCAATATTTAGTCTCTGTATTGGACCTTTCAGGGTCACACACATTGTCACATCCAACCAAGTGAGGCAGGTGTCAATAGATGTAAAAAGAAACCAGAAAGAATATCTTCATTTTTAAAGATGAGAGAACAACCATTCAGGGCTCCCCAGTGAAGCAAGTAGAGCTGGGGCCTAGATCTAATCTCCTCCTGCCAGGTGCATGTTCTGTTCCCGGGCGCTGCTTCCGGGCCTCAATTCTCTTTCCTGACCATGCCCACTTCTGCCATGAAAGCGCCCGTATTCCTGGAGAGGCCTGGGGATCGGGTGTGAAGGTGAGCACAGCCCAGGCCCCGGGTAGGAGCTCTGCGCTCGGACCACAGCGCCTGCTTAAATGAAGAGTTGGCCCTAGTTTGGGAACCAAATCTAATGTGCTGAGTATTCCAAAAGAACTATCTGCAAGTATGGGTGTGTATAAAATCTATTTATATACATACACACGTGTACACATATGTATGTATATGTAAAACTCTATTCACAGATGTGTATACATATGCGTGAATATATAAACTCTACTCAAGATTTCTCTCTGGAACCCTTGAAAATTTGTGCGATGACACTAAGCAGGAAAGGCAAATTGGAACATGCCATTATAAATATATAGGGCATAAATTGTATCATATTATCTAAGGCCGCATTGAATTGCCTTACATTGCCAGACTACGTTATGTTCGCAACGTTACGTTGTCTCATGTTCCCCTAAACTGTGCTACCTATGCCGCCATCTTGTTGCCATGGGCTGGTCTCCCAAAATGGATGACATTACTACCTCAAGTTTGATTCAGTTATTGATGCTAACTGCACCACACAGGTGCCACACATCACAGGTGTTTTTCTCACATCTTTCTGGGCGAGCAGCTCCACCCCCAGGGAGGTCCCATAGGCCTTGAGAGCAGAGAAGAGCACCTGAGACCCTCCTAATAGTTTTGGGGTAGAATTGGTCGCAGCTCTCCTCACAGACTAGGTATGCATCGTTGGAACTTCCTGTCAGCACTAAGTGAGGGAGACACCCAAACTTTCTTAGAGTTTTCTCAGTTGTAGGGCTTGGAAGCTGTCAGTGATCAAACATCAAAAATGATGCCAGGCTTATTATTCTAAACCCCTTACTGCATCCTCCCTATTTCCTTCAGTACACTGGGCACATAGTGGCTCATTGCTGGTTGTCTCCCTGTGTCCATGGGTGAACTCATGGAGCCGTTACTTCATCCATCTTATTAATCATAACACCTGGCACCTAATAGATGAACAACCATAGTTGTTGGAGGCCAACAGGTACATGAAAAGATATTTAACATCATTCATCATCAGGAAAATGCAAATCAAAACCACAATGAGATACATACCATCTCACACCTGTTGGAATGGCAATCGCCAGGAAGACGACAGACAAGAGCTGGCAAGAGCGTGGAGAGAGGGAAATCCTTGTGCATTGTTGGTGGGATGCAACTGGTGCAGATGCTAGGGAAAACAGTAGATGTTCCACAAAAAAATAAAATAGAAATACCAGCTAATCCAGCAATCCCAATTCTAGATAGATACCCTAAAAAATATGTATATAAAGAAATGAAACAGGATACAAAAGAAATGTCTCCACCCCTTGTTCACTGCTGCATTATTCTCAATAACCAAGACACGTGAACAACCTAAGCGTCCACCAAGGGATGGATGGATAAAGATGTGGTGTGCATATCCAGTAGAATGTTCTTTCACCCCAAGAAAGAACAAAATCCTGCCGTTTGAGCATTGTTGCTAAATCAGCCAAAGACAAGTACTGCGTGGTAGCACGTATATGTGGAATTTAGACAATAAAAAAGACAAACAGTATAAAATAGTGTTTCTCAGGGGTTAAGAGGTTAGGGAAATAGAGAGTGGGTGGTAAAAGGTATAAGTGTCGAACTCTAAGAGGACTAAATTCTGAAGATCTAATGTAAAACACGCTAACTCGTTGACAACGCTGTCTTTTATCACTGAAATTTGCTAGGAGAGAACTTATATATTCCTACTTTAAAAATGATAAATATATCAGGTCATGGCTGTTTTAATGAACTAGAAGGGGGGATTATTTCAAAATGTACATGTGTAGCAAAGCACATGGGCCTCTACTTTAAATACAATTTTACATATCAATTCAATCTCATGAAAACTGCAATAAATTTAAAAAAACAAATAAAAGCAAAAATAGTCACAGAATAAATGAAGTTATGGACACGTGGCATCTATACTTGCCGAATGCCACGGGTAGAGAGATGTTGAGTAATAATCCCCATGAGAGGCCTCAGCCAAGAGGTTAAGTCATTTATCCAAAGTTGCACAGCGAGGAGACAAAGGAAGCGGTAAACCAGTAAGCTCAGGGCACCAGGGCGTAGCAAGTCAGGTAGAAAGTGTCTGTGCCCTAGTTGTGGGACCCCGGCCACCTGTCCCTGCTCTCGGCACTGTGACTGTCGAGCAAGGGCACACATTCTGGGATGCTGCCCACCCTGGCTCTGAGTGAGGGGATCGCTCTTGCTCTGAGTGAGAGGATTGCTCTGGCTCTGAGTGAGGGGGTCGCAGATGGAGTTCAGGTTTATCTGATAACTCAGTATTTTGGGAGAACAGTCTAACAGGCTTCGGCTCCCCGGCAGCCTCCCAGGAATTTCTGAAACTTTGTAGGCCTGTCCCTCTTCCCCCCACCGCTTCACACAGCCTCTTATCAGACACCTACTGCAAATAGCAGGTGTGAAACAGTACAGCAAACTAGAAAAAAAAAAAGGGGAAATGCTGACAAAATCAGATTTGGATGCCAAATTCGATTTTTTTAAAAGTGACTCGCATCATCTCTCACTCCGCATTTCATATCTTCCCTTAAAACTGCCCCTCACAGCAGCTTTGCTGAAACAGTGTTCTCTGGAATGCTGGTTCCACTTCAGCTCTCTGAAGACAGGGCCTCGAGGTCAGTGACGTGGGAGGGGTTGTGGTGTAGCCCCCGAGTCCCGCAGACTCAGAGTGGCCCTGACCTGCTCCAAGTCCAGGGGCTTCTTGTACTGTCCACATCTGCACAAGCTCTGAACACTTTCACTGAACACTTACGACAGCCCCAGGGAGCCAGGGTTCACAGAACGAGCTCTGGAAATGCTGTGGGAAGGGTCAAGTCTAGGCCCCTGACGTCAGGCCTTGGGCGAGCTCTTTACCTGGCGTCCGCCCACCTCCCTGCCATCACCCCACCGGCTTTCCCTGTCTTCTGTGTCCTTTGGTATCGAGCTGCTTGGAGCTTCCAAGGGCACCAAATTTGAACTTCTACCCCAGTGCTTGCTCCTGGCTGCCTGTGGCCAACGGGTCCTACAACCTTGTCTGCACCCCTGGGGTGAGCCTCCTGGGGGGCTTGGTTAGCTCAGTTGTAAGGTGGCTGGTACAGAGGACAGACAGTCTCTAAGGTCCTTCCATCCTGCCCCCATTTGTGATTTTTCTGCCCGATGGTCCCTGGGTGTGTTGCTTTGTTTCTCTAAACCTCACTTTCATTATCTGCAAAATGGGGAGAATAGCAGAGCCCGACCACAGGAGTCTACGAGGGCCGGATGGAATGAGGATGCTGAGGATTTATTATTATTTTATCAATAACCATCCAAGAAAATGAGTGATAAACCCTGTTGACCGACAGGCACAGATGCCAACCTTACCTAGGACGTCTTCCCTGAGAACCTCCTGTGTGCTCTCTGGCTCCGAAAACCTTTTACAGATGTAAAAATAACCCTCAAAATGTTCCGAACCCTATAGTTCAAAAACGGTGAATGGACTCTTGAGACCAAATAAAGGGACTCTCAATTATATAGACGTAATTTTTAAAGATCTTCCCCAGATATGCCTTGGGTCATGATGCCTTGATCTCCTTAAGCAGCCCCTGCACGCAGTCATCACATGTGTCTGCTGTGTTCAGGGACACTCTGCCTTCAAATAACATTTGGAGACTTGGGTGTATTTTCTTGAAATATTGTTAAGTAACAAAGGATGGTTTGAAAAAAGTATGCACGTTATGACCCCATTTTACGAAAGGAGAACCAAATGTGTATTTATCTACTTAATAATGCTAACAAATACAGAAAACAGGCGAGAAGAATAACACACACCTGTTAACTGAGTTCATCGCTGTGTAAACAATTTGTTCACTCAGCATTTTCTGTATTCAACTTTCTGTCGTGAATATATTTTATTTGTGTTCAAAGGAAACAAATAAAAGGAACAGTGACATAATCCCAGAGGTCTCCAAGAGCCACAGACCAACTGGGCCTTAAAATTCTGGAGCCTCCCCTGGTGGCGCAGCGGTTGAGCGCTGGGCTGAGAGGCTGCCCACAGCCTCTGCAGCACTGGTTCATTCCCCGGCCGCCGGCGAGGGTCCCACAAAAAAAAAAAATAAATAAAAAATAAATTTCTGGCTGAAAATCAAGGACATGCATTTAGATGCTTCAGGTGAGAGAGATGGAGAGAGAGCGACGGGGAGAGAGAACTGAATTAAGTGACCTAGAATGTTTACATTTATGGGGACCTTGGCAATCATTAATATGACATCCTCTCCTTTAATAAGGTAGAAGCTCCAGAGAAATCAACTAAACCAAAGTCACATGGTTAAATAGTGGCAGAGATGGGAATGTTCAATTATTTTTTCATCAAACATTTATTAAGTTTCCACCGTGTGCTGGGTGCAAAGGGTACACGGGAGGAGAGAAATGTTATCTCTGCTCTTGCGTGCAATGGGGCAGAAACACGGGGCATAGTTACACACTACAGAATGCGCCGAATGCGCCGTGCAATGGAGAAGTCACTCACCGCAGGTGGCTGGGGAGCACCTGCCATGGGGGTGCTCTGGGGTGGG